TGTCAGTTGAGAGAAACAAATTTGTTATAAGTGTAGTTTTAATACTAAGTCTATTTTCTAATACTTACACAATAAACCTTTTAATGACTGACTGAAATGGTTGTCATACTTAGTGGAGTCTCACAAAATTATAATTCCATTATTAGGTTTCTAGATGATCGTTAAAGAGAAAAATAAAGATAATTTTCATAATTTTTGCAAGTAACTTTTGTAAACTATTCTGTTTAATCTGAATAATTGTCTCATCTAAGATTTAAAAGACTCAGCACATTCTATAATTTTATTATTTTTTCTACTACTCTCATTTTCCCCTATAAATTTGTCAAAAATACGATCATTGCAATTTAAGTGGATTATGATTTCAGGAAATACGTATAGGGTTCAGATTTATCTGTTTATACTTCTCTTGGAGTTTTTTTTTGTTTGTTTTTTTTTTGTTTGTTTGTTTGTTTTTTTTTTTTGTCATCTTGCCTCTTCTCTGTAAAACTGAAAATTTCCATCTTGCAGGGTGGTGGGAAGCTAGATTAGCAGAGACAGAGTGAAGCCACCATTGTCTGTTTCAGGAGCGAGACTGCAAGGCAAGAGATCACCTGGTTAGCTTCCCACCAGGCTCTCACTGTTAAGCTTTTTGGATGGAAAGGAAAGGTGTACTGACTGGTAGTAAGGTTCAGCAAAATATTAAGAATTTTAAGTTGTGGTTTCTAAATTGGATACTAGAAACTAAATTATTTATTCAACAAAGATCAAAAGGAATTCGATTTCTCAGAATATTATTGATGCCATTTAATGTATAATTTATTGGAATTAAAAATCACAACACAATTTCTACACTATAACATGTAGAAAAGTGTTGTTCTTGGGTTTTATAGTAACGTATTACTGACACATTAAATTTTGGAAAAAAAAAAAAGAGAGAACTTGAAAACTATTTGCTTTTTCATTTGATATCCCTAATTGAAATTGTGTTAAGACAAACCATATCTTAATTTTATAAGCCACATATTGTACATATTTTGACCTAGAGAATCTACATTATTACAAGATGAATAGAAATAGAAAAATTTCACAGATGTGCATTGAGATAGAAAGACGCATAGGAATCTGACATTACAAAAATTCGTAGCTTTCTGAAGCCTGTGTCTCAAAAGATATCTGAAGAAGGAAAACAACAGACACAAACTTCATTCAATGTTATCTTAAAAATAAAAGGCATTTCCAGGTATTCAAGACAGTAAAAAAGATGGTAATAATTGTAACATTGAAAATAATATTTTAAACTTTTTATATTTGCAAAAATATTATATGTGCTAACTTTTAAATCTAAGTTTTATTTGCCATTTTAGTTTTCATCATAATGATTAGAACTTCAGGGAACATACTGCCTTACAGTGTTTTTAGCAAACCTAAGTAAAGACTGTGAAATAATAAGATTATTTTCTTTATGCTGGGAAATTTTAACCTTTTTGGAACTAAAAATTTTAGTAAAGCAGTATTCTTCTGTTGTGATTCTAATGCGGTATAAAATTAGAAAATGATACATTCAAAAATAATTTTTATATATTAGAAAATCTTATAAATAAAAATATTGAAAAATAAGTGTGAATATCAAATTTATGCATAACAGGTAAATGTGAATGTTGGTACCTATTGGTAGGGATATAATAGCTTTTGATCCAGAAATATATGTACAAAAGAGGTAATGCTTTTGTTAATTGTGCTTGCTCAAGCAGTATGATAAACCAGTCAGCACTAGGTAAAAAGTCAAAGTAACTACGATTGAAGTTTTGTACACAATTGTGGGATATGAATAGGTACAACTAAAACATCGTCATCATTTTAAATGCTATGTTAACTTCATATATTCATGTAATTAACTCACTCACTAATTTATATGAGAAATTTTCAATATAGTATCAGATCCATATCAAAAGGTCAAGTGAACCAAAGAGCTGTAATAAATTAAAATGGCCTCTGGGGGTCAATTAACACTTACAAATGTTTATTAAGCACTCACTTAATTACTACTTAGCTGTAAAAGGTATCTATTTTATTACAAAGACTAATAGAAACAGAAAGAACTATTTATTTACTGTAAGAATTCAGGAACTATTGATACCCTGCAGGAGGTATTTTACATGCTATATGATATTATGATTCAAACATTTTTAGTATTAAAATTATTGCAAAATATCTTCATTTAATTTGTACATTGAAAATGAAGAACACTCATTTTAAGTGATATCCACTGATTTTGACTAATTTAAAAATTTTATATTTAGGTAACCATGTTTCATTATAATTAATCAAAAACAAAATTACAGGAACTTAATTGTCCATTCAAATGTTTTTGCTGAGTATTATTATTTAGAAGTAACTCTGTAGATACTGTAGAAATGCAGTTGAAGTAATTCAACAGAACCAGTTCTTTAAAAAATAAGTATGCATTTAATTGAATTTATATAGAACATGATTACTACAAAAAAGAAGTTTTAGCTAATAAGCAATCCAAAATCTCTTTTGCTTATTCTTTAATACTTGAGTTGTAGGCATTTTCAGTATAGTATATTTAATACTCATGTTAGACTTAATAACTATGAGAACAGTTTTACATAAGAGTATTATAGTAAATTCCCAAGCACTCTCCATGTTTTCTGTACAATGATCAACCTTGTTAGGCTTAGAATTGTGTCAGGTAACTAAGGCAATCATATGGATTTCCATTTGATATCAGTTCAGCCCATCAGGACTGAACTGACAGTTCAATTCCATTCAAGAATAGAGTTAGAATAATTGAATTAGTTAGGTCTTTTAAAGAAAGTGAATGTTATTCCTAGAATCTTAACAGTGATCTTTACTGTGTCAATATCCTTTCTTCTGTAGCTTGGTTATCTTAAATCTTGGTTTAATTGATTTGTAGCTCATTATAAATCCTGACTTGTTACAAAATTCTTCTTTGTGAGCTCTTCCAGCAGGCTGAAAGAAGCCTACTTACTTCATATTTGGTATAAAATGAGCACTTAGACTTGGCATATGGTAAATGCTCAAGTAACAGTATTCACTTTGAATAGCTGATACATATTCGTGCAACACTTCACAAGTTGTATTTATCTAATATGTGAAATTAAGTCATGAAATTCGAGTATTCTTCTTTCCCTTTTTTCTTCTTCCTTTCTTTCTCTTCTTCCTCCCTTCATTTTCCTTCTTCTCCTCCCTGATAGTAGCATAAAATGAAAAAGTATAATCATGCTTTTAGTCGTTTCAATGTAGCATAATTTCATACATAGTGTATTTTCTAAATACTAAATATTTTGATTTGAAAATTTAGATGATTTATATTAAAATGTCTTCCTTAAGAGGAATGACACTTCACACCTATGATAAGAAAAGTAGCTACATTTAACTAATAGGCTTAAAACATAAGAAAAACTACTATAAAGTTAAATAATAGCCTTACTAATCATCTGTTTAATATGATGTAACATTAAGATTTTATTTCCTTCATACCAAAATTCAATGTTATGTGTTCTTTAAGTTCAATAAAATAATGACCTTTATACAGATCATTTTAAGTTGTAAAAAGTTGTACTAACAATTCAGAAAAAAAAGGGAAATACATAATTGAATTTCAGTGTAACAACAGAAATAGATTCTATATTACAGAATTTGAATGGTGTTAGACAGTAATTAATGAAGAAAATGTTGTTGTAATGACTTTTGTGCTACATGTTACTTTATATAGTTTTAAAAGATTTAAAAAATCAATTTAGGAACTGCATGAAGCACTAACTTGTATAGAGATAATTTAAAATATTAACTTCAAATTCTCATATTATCTTTGATGGAAGTTTTCTCTATCCTGTTTGTGACATGTATTTTCATACATTGTTTTCTCCCCTAAGGGAAATACTCGATTCTATTCTTGGATAAAAATGATCTGTCACTATTGTTTGCTTTAAAGGGCTTTTTTTTTTTTTTTTGCACTGAACTGAGAGAAAAATCAAGGCACGAGGGATTGCTGTCCAGCTGTTGTGCAGCTAATCAATATTTTAAATGCACAAAAGAGATTTCCCTTCCCTTGAAAGTCTTTTGTGCACTTAATTTGTTGATTTATTAAAACGTCCAACTTTGTCTAAGAAGGATTCACACTTGCATTTAGCTTCTGTTTCTGTTTACTCCTGTAACAGTGCAGTTACAGAACAGTAATGCAAGTGCACTTTAATGTGTGATTCTCAGGCCCTGTGGGGAGTTGGCGAAACTGTGAATTTCAAGAGTGGTCAACCACCATATTCTTCCTTTACTTATGCAACACACTGCTTATCTGATCCCTTAGCTTTCAGCAAAGCTTACTGTGCTATATTGCAAAGGCCCATTAAAGATCAATATTAGAAGTTTACAAGAATTCTTATCTACACAGTGATCACAATCTGCATCATTCTAAATATAGTTCTAAAGGAAAAAACTTCCCTTCTCCAAACACCTACTGCAGGAGAGTAGCCTTTGGTTATGTTCCTTTATTGTTTAAACCACACCAAGCATTTCATACCATAATTTATGTAGTAGAAGGTTGTGCCTTGATATTCTCTTTCATCATTTTGTTCACCCCCGGTTTCTATAGAGAACAGCTTTCAATATAAAGCTAACTATCAAATGCACTGATTTTGTCAAACCTGTCCGCTGCATTCAACCCATCTTCAAATTTCTATCCTGCGCCTCTGGCCCCTGGGGTGAAGCGCTGCCTGAGTGCATTAATAGCAGAATCACAATGTAAGTGTCAGGATGGTGGCATCATCCTACTTTGACGCCAGCCTCCCTGTTTCTTCTGTGTGTCACTGTAGAGAAAGTAAGGCTAAAGGTTAAAAGATGCGGCTTATTAAATAATTCAAGCCATTAACCTGCAACCTGCAAAACCCATCGCAGCCTATTAAGTTTACACTGCCAAGATTCATGCTTGGTTTTGACGGATGCTAAAGCATTGTGCCTGTACGCTTTACTTTTATTACTACACAGTGATGTAGTGAGGAAGGAGGGTGAACAAAAGGTGACAGGATCTCCGCAAGGGGACAATAAGAGCAGCAGCCTCACTTGCATAAGGAAGACTGAAGCCTCGGCTCCCTGCTTCCATCTCTCCGTAGAGGCCCCGGTGCACATCTGCGTCACTCACGCGGGAGGAGGAGGCGCCGAGGAGAGAAAATTGTACAGTGAGGACCTTGACAGCCGCACGGCGGGCTCTCCCCGCTGCCTCCGCGTGTTTCCTGGAATATTTATTTGTCTTTTACAAACTGACTCTACAAAGCTACCCTTCTGGCATTGCAGAAAGCGCCTGAGTTCCTCGCAGGTCCCTGCAAGGTGTAGGCATCCTCCGGAGAGGCCAGGGCAGGGCGCAGGTGCCATCGGCAGGCTGCGGGGTGCTCTTCTTGGCGACTTGGGGACTTGGGGCTTTTTCCTCGCGCTTGCCAGGCGCTGAACTCTGAGCTGCAAGGACAGGAGTACGGAAAGGCTGCCAGGAGGGTATCCCAGGGAGGAGTATCCGGCCGCAGGCTCCGTCCCTCGCGCATCTCCAGCCCGGGGTCTTCCCGCGCGGGCGGAGATCGGGATCTTCAGCGCTCGGCGTCTCACTCCTGCGTCTGCTCCGGGCCGGTGGCTTCCCTTTGCCGTCCGCCCGGAGGACCCGATCCCCGAGCCCGCGGCTCGCTCTGCGGTCCGCGCTCGCGCTCCGCCGCCTGGCACCGCGCAGCCCGCTCTCCGGCTCCGGCTGCCCGCGCGGGGTGCACCCCGCCGCCCCGTCACCGCTCCCAGCTCGCCTGGCCTCCCGGGCCGCCGCCGGCCAGTCCACTTCGCCTTGTTTGCGTGAAGCATGTCCGGCTCGGGGAGGAAAGACTTCGACGTGAAGCACATCCTGCGGCTCCGCTGGAAACTCTTCAGCCACCCTGCGCCCTCCCCGGGCAGCCCGGCGGGGGGCGGCTGCCTGCAGCCCGACGGCGGCAGCAGCTTTGAGCACTGGGGACCCAGCCAAAGCCGCCTGCTCAAAAGCCAGGAGAAGGGCAGTGTAAGCGCTTTCTGGAAGAAGCCTTCCTCCTCTTCCTCCTCTCCGTCGTCCTCCCCGTCCTCCTCCGCCTCTTCCTTCAACCCCCTGAATGGCACCCTGCTGCCTGTTGCCACAAGGCTGCAGCCGGGCGCCCCGGGGCAGGGCGCCCCGCAGCCGGCCAGGACTCTCTTCTACGTGGAGTCCCTGGAGGAGGAGGTGGTGCCCGGCGTGGACTTTCCTGGACCGCACCAAAAGGGGCTGCCCCTGCAAGAGCTCAAAGTGGAGCTGGCCAGCGCCAGCCAGGCAACAGGTGAAGGGTGTGGACACAGGTACAGTAAGTCCCACGCGGACCCCAGCTTCTCCCAATTTCCACTCGCTTCCCCCCGCCTCCGCCTATAGTCACAAAGTTAAGGCGCTTCGTAGTGAAAATTTGAGTTGGAAATCAAGGCAGGTTTTATTACCCGAGTTGGAATCGCATTAAAAGTTTGTTCATTAATTTCCATTGGCTCACACTCATTACTTTTCTTTTTGCAGATCTCAGAGTTGTAGCCACCAATGGAATATCCATGGGTTCTAGTAAATCTTTAAGTCAAACGGTTCTCATGGTTTTTCATATTATAAGGTCTTTCTGTCTTCCGTCATTGAAATCTATCAGCGTCCCCATTATCTATTTGCGGTGAAATTGATGTTAGACTCCATCAGAATGCGCCTCATACTTGCCTGGTGACTGACTTAGCATTGTTATCCCAAATTCCTGTGTCTGGGATCAATATTCGAAGAATAATAATAAGGTGGGCAAAAGGCGGGCAGTGGGCATCGCTATCTTATCTCTGTCCCTCCCCTGAACAGAGTCACTGCTCTGGGTCCCAGCTTCCTTTCTGGTCCTGCTACCGTTTTAGAGCCTTTTTCACTGGAGGACTAAGCTGATCCTTTTGCTTCAGGGTCTAAGATCTGCCAGCTCAGTCTCACTAGCTGTATATGCATAATAGGAAGGTCAATATGTATTTCCAGCTTATTGCTCACATTACACTGAGCACAGTTCTGCTACCTTGAAAATATAGAAAGCCTTCCCAACACTGAACACTGAACATTCTGAATTTTGTATTTTAGGGAATTGAGTTATTATTATTCTACATGATATCATAACTAGTTGGCTGTATAATGAGGGTATGAAAGGATTTTCATTTAGATTCATATGATATCAGAATACATTATTGAAGAAGAAACACAAGAAAATGATAATGAATATGCTCATAAATTTTAATTAATTCTCAAGAAAAATTAGAATCAAGTATGTTTAAATTTTTACTTACTTGAGTCAGCTTCTTAAAATCTAAGTTGTATAAACTATATTTTAAAAAGTACATATATTTGTTATTTACACTAAAAATGTAATATTAGATGCAGAAATTATACCTAATTTTTAAAAATCATATGCATGATATACGTTTCATTTGAATTTTAGCTCTTCAAAATATTCTGATGTATATTAAGACATCTAAAAATGTAGAGTTGTTATTTTAATGTAAATATTCAATTTGGAAATTTCAAGTAGGCTAAAAGTTGTCCTTATGTAGAAGACTTAAATATAAGTTTATCTATTAGTCAATCAAATTACTTTACAAAAATTTTATAAGTAAATACTACAAATACCATAAAGTAATTAGATCAATGTATTCAGTACTTGCTATAATTCTTCATTTTTAAAAATAAAATGTGTTGTTTTTTAAAAACATTCTTTAGTTGTATAAACATAAAATTTGAGGGGGATTATTCATAAATATTAGCAATTCACTTTTATATTTTATGGAAAAATTAGATACTAGTTTACTGAAACTGATAATTTGAGAGACAACTCAAAAGTAGAGATTATATATTTTGTATGCATATAATTGATTTCTGAATTGTATCATCAGCTGGATATATCTCACCTGGAAATATTAATGTGTTATAATTTCTTAAAAAAGTTTATGATGTAATATTTTCAAACAAGAAGAATATTTGGAGTCAACAATTTATGAAAATATTTATCTAAATTGTAGAATTTGAAGATACTAATGAAGTGCTGATTTAATAAAGTAAAATATATTTATAATCGTGAAATAAATTACCTACTAACTGTGGAGGCACTGGTCAGAGGTATGTACAACATGGACATGAAGAGAACTTTAGGAGCCACATTCCCAAACTGTCGTGGAATGCACAGTTAGAAATTAAAAGACAGCCTACAGAGTCACAAGCCCACGTGGACTAAGGAATGAAGTCTCTGGCCTTGGTACTCCCCAGGCACCAATTTAGCACTTAGCTTGGTCCCAAGGTCAGTCTTTAAATGGACCAGTCTGCCCTTCCTCATCCTTCCCCTCTCCTACACATGTTCCTGCCCAGATGCTATTCTTTTTTCCTTATCTTTGTTTCTTGGTTCCATCCTTAGAAAGCCATCCAAGCTTCAGTTCCTGAAAGGTCTTGCCTAGTGGCAGCCCTTCTGAGCTAACTTGGAACATGGATTGGAGACTGACTCTGAGTAATCTTTGAGTAATCTTTTATCTTCTGTGCTGGACCATGGTTGTGAACTGTGACAAATAGTTTTAGATATAAATGAGGCAGTCACATCATAGTTACCTTTGAATATTTTTCATTGTTTTGAATTTCACAGCAAGTTGTAAGATATAAGAATTCTGAAAATAATGCAAGTGTCAAACAAAATCATCTGTATTATTGGAAATAGAATGTTCCCTGAGACTTTGCAGGTGTAAACTACTGAAAACCAAGTCCAATTTGATTTTTTACATGTTGTTAATACTTACATGATTTCTATAAATCTGAATTTCTGAATGGGCAAATGAGTTGGCACTTTTAATATTTGATGGATATTTTTTCTGCTCTTAAAATTTCTTATGGAGCCAGGGATTTAGCCCAGTGGCATAAGCACCTGTCTGGCAAGCACCAGATTCTGAGTTCAATCCCAGGGTTAAAAAGAAATTACTTAACATTAGTTCTATGTTCACTATTAGGAACTAGTTCACTATGTTCATTAGTATATTAGCAATTATCTATTAACAACATATAATATGCTAATGTGTGATAATTGTTACCGATAAGAGATAGCATACACAAAATAAAATACTGAATGGAAATTTCATTTTACCTCAGAGCTTTATTCAAAATGACCAGTAATCTAGATTTAGTTTCTCTGTGATTATACATCTAAGATATCTGCACAATGTCTGTGATGATGAGCATCCAAACTGTTTAAATCATGCATACCAATTTTTATTGCTTAAGTCATTATTATACACCTAAATATGATGCCAAATTTTTTACACCTTTTTTTTTCTTTTTTATTGGTACCGGGGATCGAACTCACGACTGCCTGCTTGCAAGGCAGGTGCTTATGCCGCTGAGCTAAGTCCCCAACCCCTATGATGCCAAATTTAATACTTAGCATTTTCTTTTGTCAGCACTGACTTTTATGATAAATTAATCTTCAAATATAAAACAAAATTTGGCCCTTTCTCTCATAATCCCTGTACTTATTTAATAACTTTTCTTTTATTCATTTGGTTATCCACTAGTTAGGAACACTATTTTAAACATGTATGAGTAGCTTAATTAGTGAACCTTGTTAGAAGAACAGGTAGAGAAAATTTAGAAGAAAGTTGATCGTAATTTCAGAATCCTAGAAAGGTCCCAGTTTCATAGGCTGAGCAGAAAAGTAGTAGCAATGCAAAGATAAACTAATAAACCAGCAGTACACACTACGTACCTTATCCTACCGTGGTACACACCACACAGCCAGGAGCATGTACTTCCTAAACACATCTCAGCTCTCTACTACTTGATCATCTTATCAATAAAAAAGATTTAAATAGTAAGTTACTTATCTATAATCAGTAAGTTTCTCTATTTTTCCTGGCCAAACTTAGCTTTAAAAGTATATAAGTTCCTGCTTAGTCAGATCACAATGTATTTGTGTTGTAGATATTTTTATCCAAAATTTCATATGTAACAAAATGAGCAATATTTATTTGTTTTAGTTTATAATGCTGTAGTAAAAGAGATACCATTTTTGCCTGATTGCTTTTTTAGAAGTTAAATTCTTAGAATGCATTCATTGGATTCCAAGTTTTAGTTACCATTCATAGACCATGATTTCAGATTTGTTTCTCTAAACCAAGTTCTTTCCCTCACTTCTAATCTCATGCATCCACTCTTCTCTCTGACCTCTCGGGTAGCTTCCAAGACTATTTAAGTACAACATGGAGGACATGTAACCTCCCTTCTATTTTGCTCAATTTCTGTTTTCTCCACCTCACAGAATAACACTCCCTGCATTGAGGCTAATATTTGCAAACATCTTCTTCCACATAGTTTTAAATATCCTTTAAAAAAGTATTGGAAATTTCACATGGGAAGTAGCCTGTAAATTTGTTTTTGAATTCCATCTTTACTTATTACACTTATTTTAGTCTTACACTTTTTAAGCTCTACTATTATCTGTGTTACTGATCCTCTCATCTTTGTCTCATGTAATTAATTATCTATAGTTGGTGAACATGCTAAAAAAATAGCTGAACCATTTTTCCTTGTACTTGCTGTCCTTTTTCCCCAAAAATATAATTTCAAAGTTCTCCTATCGTTATCCTATGAAACCCTCGCTGCCCACAGTGTATCCCAGACTTCATGACTCTAAATGATTTATTCCTTCACCTATGTGTCTTCACTCACCCCGCTCAGCCTTCCAGAAACAATGCTCTGCTCTGTGATTTTTCCCTGGTCCAAGCCTCACAAACCTCAATAGTGGTTTCTTCTCCTCAATAGTGGTTTTCTTTCTCTCAACCAATCCTTTTCTGCGTTCGTTTCTATTCATTATTGACATATTATAAACAGAATCTTTTTGAGTTCTCTTTTGAAAGATATTTTCTGTGATTCACCTGACAAATTCTTATCTTCTGTTTCATGTCAGAATAACTGTTATTTTCGTCAGTTTGTATTAAAGCTTGTAAACATTTTAATATCCATGTTGAGTTTTTATTGTTACTAAAGTTTCCAAGTGTAGAATAGTGTGTTAATTTAGCTCAGTCTTTTATTCCTATCACAAAGCATAATGTTTCCCCATATATGCTGTTGAAAAAATGAAAATTTTTCAAAATATTTTGAGTAACATTGATTAGAAATTTACATACTGTCAAATAGACTATTGAATATTTATAGTGTGCAAATTAAAATTCTTAATAACCTATAGCAGTTGCAACGTATATATTTGGGATATTGGTTACTCAAAAAAGAAGTGTGAGATATAACTAGTACCTATATTAATTAACTTGACTAT